CATTCGTTATATGTCAAAATATGAAATTCGTTTTTTATTAGACATGTGTATTGAACGAAGACTTAATGAAGTCAATCACTTTATTAATTAACACAAAATTACAGAGTTCTTCGGTAATATGTGAAAACCATACATTAAGTACTTCATTGGCAAATCTTTCATCAATTGTTCTTTACATCTTGTATGATTCTTCCGCTTTACAATTCTTTTTTTATTTTCGTCAGTTCAATCTGATCGGTCACATACTACTTATATTATTGATATAAGTAGCCTTCATCACACATGTACCTCAATGTACAGCTAACGTGTATGTAGGAAATGAAATCGATATTTACAGAATTAACAGTATGAACAGAATTCTAGTCAAAATGATTGTCTTGAACCTATAAACAGACTTATTGGAGATGTCTCTTGAAACATTACGTAAAATTAAATTACATTTATCATCAACTCCTAAAAATTAATTACGTATTATCAATACTGACTTGAAAGGAGAGATTTTGTTCTATGCTTCAACGGTCGGTTCAATAAGTATAAGAGTACTTTTCTGAGTTATTATTTTAATTACTAAAATTAAACAATAAAGGGATACGATCCAAAAATTTGTATCAAACTACGATTTACTAGACAATGAATAAACATAAAAGCAAAGGATTTCAGAAACATCGAATATGCTTCTAGAAGAGAATATATCTAAGGTAAACTTGGTTTCATAAAGCACACTGAGCTGTTTTCAGTTGATTGATATTATAATAATAACAATTTACATAATGAAATAGTCATAATCTCTGCCCTAATAATATATATCGTAACGATGACGTCAGTTAGAGAACAAAGATTTATCGACCAGACCAATAACGCATAAAACACGTACGAGTAGTCTAGAGTATTTGTCGATCCTGCTTCCAGCCTAGCACTGCCTGTTGAGTCCAGAACACAAATCCCAGCCTCTGCGATATGAATCATGTATTTTAAACATACTGGGTTTATATACAAACGAAACAGACCACATCGTACCATAAAATAGAAAATAACATTTGTACAAGATTTAGCCAAATGTAGCTGTGAATGTGGGAGATATTAATTTATAGACTGGGTCAAACTGAAGAATGGCAAATTGTATTATAATAATTTATAGGTCAAAATAAAGCTTATGATAAGAGGAGCACGAATATGAATGATATAGCTACTTAACAATTATACAATAAAATATTTGTATAGTATTAGTCCGGAAATAGATTCCAACAGTTAACATTTATTATTTTTATCGGGATATAACAGAAATATCCTAGATTTTTCATGACATTTTACAGGTATGTTTGAGTTGATATTATTAAGTACTTTGGTTTTCAATGCGCTAATTATGATATTGTTCGAAGAAGTTTAATTTCAGTGGATATATCTGAATCCATGGAATATGTACGGTCACTTGATGTAAATCACTTAAGAAATAATGTAATAGAGGTTGTTGATCTAAGTTAGCAGATAAATAGAGGTGAACAGTTCGAGCTCTAAATAATTAAGTTCTGTAACGTCAGGAATTACTGCATTGATAGGCGGCCTGCTTGAATATCTGGGCTACCTGTTCCTTCGATCTATATATTTCTTCAAGTTATCTGTTTTGTTGTTCGTTTTAGCATATCAATATGTCTATTGTGCTCACAATCTATTCGGGCGCGTTTATGAAAAGTTTACAACCTTTTGCTATACGGGATGCAGAAAGGTACAATCAGCGACATCATGGTGGCTGGCAATATGCATTGAGACGAACAAACATTAATCAAATGCGGATTATCGAATTCCTAAAATCTAACTGGTCATCATTCGAAATTTATCGTCACAATCGATCAAGATATAAGAAAAAGAAACTTGTTGAAATACTTTATGCTGAGAATTCTATGTTGTACGAAAAGTATAATGTTGAATAAAGCTTCTTATAATAATAAAAAAAGAAACTTATAAGTTTCAACTTGAATAAATCACTAGTTATCAGAAATGAGTAAGCTGCTCTTTATTACGAATACATGATTTAGAGTGTGTATCTGGCTTACAGTATCGGTTTAGATATATATCAAAGATTGCGGTAATGTACTCAGGTTTTGCCATTATCTCGTTACATACTAAGAACAATATACCACGGTAATCCGAAGTTGAAACGTTACAGATAATATTCGAGTTATCAATCCATTTCCTTAAAACAAGTCTAATATTTCGAGTCAATTTACACGATAGATTGACTTAAGGTAGTAAATGATTAAAAGCTAAGTAACATTCGGAATAATGATGTATAGTTCAAAGCTCTAGGACGAATTTTGATCAAAAGACGTTTTATATCAGCCTCATTACACTTAAGACCATTGAATTAATGCCACATGTTTTTACTTTAGATTTCAGCAAATTCATCATATAGTGTGACAAACAATCATTATCACAAGTATCACTAATGAGATAGATTAGTTCCAGTAGTTATCTGGTCATTACTCATCTGTAAGCAAAATGTCAAGTACATTTGAAAGCATCATTGTTATTGTAATTATATTGCTGATTCAAAAGCATATATATATAGCGACAATAAGATGTTAGATGACTGCTTGTCTTTAAGTGATCCGTTTCGCAATTTTGAAAGAAAAACGTCTGGAGAGGGCACAATGACTGTGCCATACAATTGTTTATGGTATTCATTGTTGAATCTCAAGTGGACGTTTATGATGCATCTAAGAATTAACTGTTTTATTGCGGATACAGTAATTAGGGTTTCTGTACCATACTCTTTTAGTTCGCTGGAAATAAAACCCAATTTCCAGTAGGGGAATGTTCTTGTACTAGGACAATACATTTAGTGATATCATGATGTTATTTTTGACCGACAGATTTTTTGTATTATCTACAAATCCATAGAAGTCCTTGACATTATCCTTCACAATATTTTCGTGCAAATGTTTCATAATCTGCACTAAACATTTTGACATATTATCATAAGCTGAATTATTCATATTTAAAACTGGTGGAGAGAGCAAGCTACTATTATGTATTTTTGGTAGATCATGTGGCATTGATGTTATCATTCCCGTAGGTTTCAACGTTTCGAGCACTTTTTCCAAAATAAAACCTTGTTTCTGATCAGTTCCAATGAGTCTATGAGTAACACACCTTAACCTTCGTCTGGTTTCGTAATTAAAACACTGTCATCAGTTTTAAGTTTTGTTAAAGCTCTTTTTAAAGATCTTGACTGGCCGCCATGCGTCTCTGATAGAAAATTCGGTATACTGACTTCAGAAAAACAGCATAAAAAATATTAGTTTGCAGTGATATAGAAATTTCCGGTTTTGGATGCATAGCATGTCTCGTTACTGTTTTGTTGGCATTCGTCATATATTCCATAGTAGTGAGTATCTTCGTCTAAGTTGTTGTCCATGTCACTTATTTATTCCGAATTCATTGAAATAAAATACTTCTGTTCCAACCCTCACAAGGCTTCTGCTACCTTTTGTTCGTTTGCAGGAATACGGGAACTAACTAACCATAACAAAGGCTTTTTGAATGGCAAAGGCTAAATAAATCGGTATTGTCACGAAATGCATGGAGAGTGCAACAATTTGAAGAAATAAGTATTCATTGTTTGTTGTAAACAGAAAATATCAACGATTCATCAGGTTCCTTAGACTCTTGATTGTGAATAAATAATATTGCAACTCATTACCTTTATCTGGTTTATACCCATGACATCCTCTGAGCGAAAATATATGAGTTCAAGGCTTTTCATAATTTCCTTCATTTTATTTATTTACATAATGAGATTGTTTATCTGGGACGTTTGCTTGAGAAAATGCTTCATGAATTAAATACATGCTGTGGACACAGACGCTTACAAAGTGAGGTGTATACTTAATGCAACAAGTTAAATGCAGCAGTGCTGGAATTAGTAGAGGCCTGAAGGACTCGAACTCTTATTACGTTGGCTTCCTCACCGAATAACTATTATGACAACGCATTGCATTCATGCTTGTGGTTTCCACGTTTCCACAGACTGAAGTCTAATACCCATCTATCTCCTTGGAAAACATAAATGCTACACATCTGCATTTTGATGAGGCTGCTGGGGGAAACAGCCTTAAAAATTATTACTCTTACCTTCTTCTTTGGGAATGACTGGAGTTTCTTTTGGAAGCTTTACGATCAATTCTACAGCACATAAGCTTAAAGCACGGTTTCCGATTCCGATGTTACTGAGAATCATAAATGACGTGGATGCGCATTGCTGAGTAGTCCCGCAATAGGACGAAACGGCCGTCCAGTGCCTCCGGTTTTTCCATTGTGGTCTAGCTTCAATTGACTCATGATCTCAACTGTTGAAAATTCTGCCTGCTGGAAATTTCTTATTGTATTATTGAGGGCTTCCATGACGGAAAATATATTGAAAACAACATGAATTGGAAGTAGGTAGCAATAGTGGGATTATTCAATCTTACTGTAATCACAATATTTAGCATCATACAAATTATTAACTTTCATTTTCAGGTTTCTAATAGTGGTTTCGCTTACATCACCTCATGACTTTAACTGTGAAAATACTACAATCTCCACAAGTCCCCGTACTAATAAAAAATAATAATAACCAGTAAAATCCTTCTCTAAACTATCAATTTTGTTGGACGACTGATTTGAGGAGAACAAAAGGAAAAGTGTGCAAAAACATTTTCCTTAGTGCTTGGGACAATAAGAATAGAAAATCTAAAATATAGTCAGTAAATCATATTTATATTATGATTTCAAAGAAATCTAACCATACATCATTTAAGCATAATCTAACAAAACTATTACATCACAAATGTTCAAATATAAAACTAAATAAAATCTATATAAAGTAAAACTAAAATACAATTAGAAGAAAACTGTTTCCGTTAAATTATAAGGATCAATTTCAAAATTACTAGGTAATATTAGAAAATAATTTACTATCTTATTCAAACAAAAAAGCAATTTTTTAAATTTCATTTAGCATGGATACAAAAATAATGAAAAAAAATACTAAGTAAAACTCCATAGCTTTATAATAGTATACAACAAATTGATAACTTCAAGAAAGACAAGGAGTGAAACCTGATTTGTCTAGATTTTACTCATGATCAATTGCTTTCGTTTACATGGAACTTTCTGATGACAAAGGCTTTTTCCCTCCAGAACTATGTGTCATAGCTAACACCGGTGACTCAGTTGCCAGTGTGACCAAGTATGCCAAGCAATAAGTAATTGGTAGAACGGCAAAGAACATAACTATCTGGAAGGAGAGAGATTAAAACAGTCAGTTGTATTTGTACTAAATCGTATAAACATACATATATTCATGTTTGTATTAATCATTTGAATTGTTGTGTCTTCATGGTATGGTCCGCTAGTTATCACGGAATCTAGTAGTCAATCAAAATACGACCTATTCGCTCTTATACTGTACTAAACCAATCACATTCGACCGGTCTGATCAGCCTAGCATCCTGTTTCTTCGTTGCTCGTCCAGATGATTCCAGAATGCCAACAACAGCCTCCCCTATCCGAATCATTTATTTCAGACATACTGGGTTTATATACCAAACAAACAGACCGCAACGCACCATTGAATAAGAAATAACATTCATACACAATAATGTCAAAAAGTGGCTGTGAACGTGAGAGACGGTAATTAATAAACTGAATATAATTTAACAACAGTAAATCATACAATAATAATCTATAGGTCAAAACGAAGCTTATAATAATAAGGAGAATATAGATATACACAATCTAACGACTGAATAGTTATACCATAAGTTCATACAGATAATATTAGTTCATTGATAGGTCTCAGAAGTTACTTGTAATGTAATCTTCGCTAGGATATAACATGAATGTATATGTATGCATACATATATTTCCAGATTGTTTGCATTGTCATACTACAATCGAAACACTAAATTATTGTTCAATATGTATTTTTGTTTATCTACCTCATTACAACAGTCTCCGAAGTTTGAAAACTGTTTGAACATTTGTGGATGAAAAACAAGAAATTAGTTAATACATTGAATGATATAATCGTGAGATTTCGATGAAGAATCCAGTGAATAAAAACGTAAGTCGACACGCTTGAACATAGAGTGATCACTCTATACTCTATCTTTATTCACTACCGAAATATATTAAATGAGAACAGATCGTGGTTCAGTTGGATAATTTCGGTTTGATCATCAAAATCTACTTCGATTATTCAACGAAACTCAGTGTTTGTAGAGCCACAACAGTAAAATCGACTGATTGTGATTTCAGAGAAATTCACTAACATGTTCAAATGCCTAATTTGCATTCAAATACTAAAACACGTGTTCCACATAATGATGGAAGATTATTGAGAACACACAGTCTCAACATTAATTATTTCCTAAACTAATACTTTGAATATGGATTTACGAAGTTAGATAGATGGCAAGTATCATGTCATATAACAATATTATCATAACAATTCGACAGGAAATACACGAGAAAATATTACACTTTATTCGACCAACACCACATGTAAATTGAGTGTGAACTATAAAAACACAGGCTTTTCTGGTGCAATTTGTTCCAATCGAAAGTACTTTGTGGAGTTATTCATTTAAGAAATAAATGCAAATATGTGATTGGTTGGTGATTTACAAAGATCGACAGTGACCAACACCCACCCTTTACACCAATTCACCTTAAGTCAAACAAAACAATAGGAACTTCGTTTGTTGACTTTAACAGTTCACAGTTTCATTCTTAGTGAATTGTTATGACAAACATCTCTTCTAATACATCCCATTCTCCGTAATTAATTGGACCGCAAACTTCAGAAGGTGGAAATGTTACGAGTTGTGATTTATTTTATAGAACATAAGAGACCAGTAATATCTGTTTGACAAGTTAACTGCAGAATCAATTCCATCAGACTAACCATGAGAGTTGCCATAAAAATATCAAATATGTGGATTGTTAACTTAAATGTGTGTAATGACTATCAATGCAAGATGTTGGTCATTAGAAGGTGATGCTGATAAAAGGTTCTGATCAATCTCCTGCAGTATCTCAAATAAATCTCTACTTCAAAACTAAACTATTCAAGATAACATTAAATTGTTACAGTTCGAAACTCAAGCTAGTCAGTTGTTATAAAGATGTATCAGTAACCAGACTGAATTATAGAATACTTGATAAATCCTGTTCACAACATTCAATTACGTTTTATAACTCAAAACAGGACTCACCAAATGCAGGTCATCCAGCAGTATTGGGTTCTGACTTCCTAAAGCGATGAATAAAACCACTATCGGATGTACAAGATAAGCTGTATATGTCAACCGTGAAGGAACACGGAATACAGACAATGTGAGAATCCAGCGAATTGGACCTGTGTAAGCATGGAATGGTAGAAAAAGGAATTTAGATTCGTCCAAACTAATGTGACACAGTATATTTGTCATGAAGTCAAACTTTATGAAATATGAGAGTAATATCGGATTATTTCATCTGGTTCATATAGTCTCACGTTTTCTGCTCACTGGAAGAGTACACGTAAAAGTACATCACAAAAACAGTAGGTGTAAAATACTAACCAGAACAAATACTGTACTAAAGCATGTCCAATTAACATAGAATAATTCAGAAAAGTTTCGCTTACTGTCCTTTACGTTCTTCAATAACAAACACCTATGCTCTTCAGCACAGCTCTTCTAGACGTTTGCAACAAGTCTCGACATTGAAACATCCAGTGAAGGTTTACAATCAGACCTACCGATTTCCCTTTTACTGATTTCATTATACTCAAACAATGATTAGAGCACACCTAATTCGAAATATGAATTCAATCACATCAATGTTATTTATCACGATTTCTTACAAATTAGGTCATCAGTGCTATAGTAATGTCAACTGTCGGATCAGAACATCGCGCATTCTCAATCAGAGGTGGATATCACAGTTAAGCTTTATCTTAACATTCTATGTTTTAGAACACTGATTTGAGAAGCGCTGAGTAATGTAGAATCATATCGTATAATTCACAGTCTGACTTACCACCACAACCAAGAGCACACATCGATACAACGATTGCAATACCGAGAATAAAAATAGGTCGATGGAATGCTGTATAAGTTGCAGCTCCAAACGTTGTGAATGGTTCGACCTTTCCACTTAGTAGTCCATACAATCCGTAGACAGTAGATACACAGAATATGGATGACAGGCATACACCAATCACACCAATCAAAACCTTCGTTTTTGTATTCACATTCTAAAAATAGAATGAAAGGTCCTTAAGATAGACACTGAAGTCCGCATATACTTGGCAACGTGTTTGTGTGATCTATATAAGAATACTTCTAAGTCTATATTGATAAAACGTTAAAATGTCTAATGAAACGAGATGGGAAGTATTTGTACAGCGATTTCTTTTTGTAAACGTACAAAAAATCTAGTATAAATGATGCTAGTCTTTATAAGTTAAAAACTCTTAACCTATTTAAATCTAATGTTTCAACTCTGAGTGGCCATTCGTTATGACAACTTAGTGGTCTACAGGTTGTTTATTCATGCCTGAGGCCGAAGGTCTCGGGATCAAATCCCTTTTGTCAATAATATCCACAGTTTACTATGTATATACAAAAAAAAGTATGAGTCCTTATATGATTGATTATCAATGTAGTGATGCATAAATAATGCAATGGTATTCATTTTCAAACTGAAACTTTTTTATTAGTGAGCATATACATTAATTAATAGCTGAAAACCCATAGTGTTTTGTTAATTTATATAGATTGTAGTAATTAATGAAAACATAGTAAACATAATAAACTTCCTTTCAATTTCTGCTTCAACAAAATAGTCTAATGTCATATATGTTATTAACTACAAGTTATTGAATGAGATCAGGTAATAGAATATTATCATCTTCAACATTACAGATAATCAACCAATATCCTTTCAAAACCGATACGTTCATTTATATGTTAGATTATGAAAAATGTATATTGATTATTTTTGTTATAACGCTTGTGTTTTACTTCATCTAATGTTATAATGGTTGGGTTTTCACGTTTACACATGTATGCACATATGGGACGTTAATTTACTTTAGACGAATATCTACACTAGATCCCCTCCCAGTGTCTATTCTACAGGACGCCAACACAACTCAGATCAAGAACACGTGATTAGCCTGACCACAACGTAAATATATTTCCACACCAAAACCTGACACAATCCAACAACAATGAACAATCAATAATAAGTGAGTAATAATAATAATAAGGATAGGGGAATATATAACTCATCTGACACCTGTCAGACAATCTACATGTCTGACTAAGCAAACAACCAATCATTATCATTACCCTAAATTCGATGAAAAGTGGAATAGTAGTTGAAGTCAGTCTGTGATATACATTTAAGTGTATACTTAATCTCTAAATACCTATGAAAAATTTACACAGAGCAAATAACCTAAAATGAAAGAGAACCTAAATCATACATCAATTAAATTCAATGATAAATTCCAATGACTGGTCAAGTCGAAAACTTTCTGAATTACTACATATTTCATGTGTAAGGTATTTTAATTACTCATCGTTGATTCGCAGAACTACATTTCATCAGTCTCTATAATGATATCTGTCAATCTCAAACCGAAATCTACCTAATGACTATAGTTGTAAGCATTGTAATATTTCGGGACAGTGTTTAGTAATAAATATCAATAGTGAAATGTATATAAATCTAACTAACGAACTCCAAGTAGAATGAAATAAGTAGCCTTGATTATGGTATTACCACACACCACAAATACTAAACATTTTGCTCAAGACTTGAAGTTGTGTAATCCATAACATCTACTGATCTTTCCCGTTAAGTAATGTATTTATAATTCAGTCAAAATGAAGATAAATCAAGCAGATTGAGCAATTAACAAACTTATAATTAATAGACTGTTTGACATAGTCTCAGTTAAAAGAGTGATAGTGATATATCCCTGTAAAACACAACACTCCTTCCGATAAAGGTTAATTTAAATAAACCAACACACATTAAAAGATTGACAGAAGTTGTAAACACATATGACTGGATCCATCAATCTCATTTAGTTGAAGAACTTACATTCAAAATATTGATGTGTTTTTCTAGGAACCAGCCCAATAAAAGACCAATAGCATAAGTGCTCCAACGTGTATACGGTTTTACGTAAATAGTTGTGAATGATGAGCTAGATAAAACAATCAGAAGCAGATATCACGGACTAAACAAAAAAGTTGACGTAAGTTATCTCAAGACTTTTTTTATCAATATTACTTCAATATTCCAAATTACCTTATTTGAGTGCAGTTTAATAAGCCGGAATTTTCTAGTGTTGATATATTCTAGCTAGTTCATTCGAAGAAAAGTATTCATGATTATTTGAGAGATGACAACATCTACATTTGCAACCGAATGAGCATACAGGATTCGTTCACCAACTTCGAAGTAAACAATCATGTTACTTAATTTTCTCAACAGTAGCCCCTTCAGTATTCAATGTAACTACATCACAACCGGTAGCTTATGTCAATTGATTTTAATCTATATTCTTTAGAGCTACCTTGTTTTACAACTTTAAGAACTATCAAATACAAACCTGACATCTTCCACTGATCTACTACTAAAAAACTCCACACATCTACATTACTTTTATAAATCACATACCAGTTGGATTGAATACGATGTAACTAAAAATCGTTGTTCACGAAATTCACGTATTCTCCAATTGTTTTGAGTATTACTAATCGCAGAAATGCTTTTGTGTTGTGACAGTACGACAGACATCTGATACTGATATCTTTTAACAAAATCAAAACTACTTCTGACTCCCAGTAATGTTTCCTTAATGATCTAAGTTGTGAACTGACTCATCACTGAGTGGCAACCAATTTCATGATTGTCTAGTCTCTGCTGCTTATCGAATTCTATTGAGTAGGTTGCAAAGTACCGACTAATCGTTGGAGATACGCTTTGATCAAGAGTGATAACTTACATGAAAGTTTCAGATACACGAGAGTCCAACTGATTGATCGAACTACCTAACGTATACAATGTCTTCTCTACTGCATGTTTCGTCTTTACAACGAAGCAATGCATTCACTTGATTTAATCAAGCGATGGCTTAGTAGTTTAGGCGATCGCGATTCCGATACAAAATCCTACGTTCTTGTCCTGCCACACGTACTTTGGTTTGCGCGACCATGAAGTGGTACTAGCTCACACGTCTGAAACGTATCTTATAACCAATTATTTGATGAACTAGTTAATCTATCTGTTTTTATTTTATCAATATGTTCAGGTTCGCCCCAAGTTTCAGAGAATTCAAGAATTGTAACAAATATTTTTCAAATTTTTCTAATACAGTAGTTTTCGAATTAATTTTGCAAGTGACTGAAATAAGTCGTACACTCGAATATTCGAGTAAAGTTTCTGCCAAGAACGTGATCAGTGCTCTATTCAATTGAAATCAATTTACTTTTCATTTGCGATCGATAGCCGCAATGCTATCAGCATTTGAAAGTGATTATTTGATATTGTCATCTATTAGTCAGTATAATGAAGCTTACTCAATAAAATCGTACAGATATTTTTGTAGAATAGTGATTTTCAATTTGTACACGTTTATATAAAATTAGTGGTATCACGAGTAGATGGGTATGTGAATTATTACATTCAACAACTTACAGTGATAGCGCACCAGGTAAATAATCATTCGAATAAGATATGCCAAATGTGGACGCGATACTGGAAATTACAAGTCCAAAACCAAACAGTACACCGATAGTTTCATTCCTAAACATTCACGGCAAGCCATATATGTAAAAATACGACAAAATAGTATATGAAACAAAAAGGCTAGTCATAATTAATGCGTGGCATTTGGTAAAAACTGCATCCAATAAGAACTGCAGATTAGACAGAAACTTGAAACCTAATTCCAAAAATTAACTTTAATTTCTACACGTAATGAAGCTTCTTAATAATTTGATTCACTTTACCACGTTTGTTTCCAGAATCTCAAACACATAAATAATCTGACTTCAATCTATTCAAAAATATAAACATTAGATTTTATTTGTCCAGTATGACTTTCCATGAAGTTTTGAAGATTTTAAAGCGTTTAGAATATAATTAATTTGACAACTAGCTTGATTTTCTCTAGACATTTAGACAGCTAAGAATAAGCTAGAATAATAAACTTATAACTAGAAAACATCTTGAATAAGCACCTAGTCTACAAAAACACTGACTGTATTCAACTCATCTGTGCAGAAAATATTTTTGTAACACAACTGAATGTTCAGGAATCAACTGGAATATAAAAATTTAAGTATAAATTTCAGAAAACTGAAATTCAGATCTTAGACAGCGTTACCACATCAACGACAAACAAGTAAATTATATTGTAGCCAACAATTATTTGTTAGAGAGACGGAGATTTTCCAATTCCCTGTATAAGTCTGCTGATTAGAACCCTCAACTATTTTAAACAGTGAATTATGATCATTGTCAAACAATCAATCGAGGAACTCGTCTCCATACATCAACTTCCTTGACTATGAGAAAGCATTTCACAGAGTGAACAGGAGAACCTTATGGAGACTTCTCCAGTACTGTGCTGTACCTGAAAAAATTATCGACATCACCTGGAATTAATATGACGGACTACAGTGCAAAGTCGTGCATGGAGGACAGCTGAGAGATGCATTTCAAGTGAGAACCGGTGTCAGAAAAGGTTTCCTACTCTCCTCCCTTTCCTTAACTTCTGGTGCCTGGATGGCTTATGAATACCTGCACATCTCGGGGAAAGCAATGAATACAATGAACAGCTTGGATGCAACTAGGAGAATTAAACATCTCAGATGATAGCTCTGCTATTGCCTACAGCAACAAATGTGGGCGGAGATAGCCAGTGTAGCAGCAGTAGGCTTAAACATACACAAAGCAAAACGCGGAATCCTCATATACAACACGAAGCACACCAATCCAATCATAATTGATGGAGAAGCTCTGGAAGAGGTAGAAGCTTTAAAGTACCTGGACGACATCACTGATAAACAAGTAGGATCTGATGCAGATGTAAAGGCAAGATTAGCAAAACAAGGACCGCATCACTACAAGTAAGAAAATATATGAATCTCAAAAAACTGTCAAACGACATCGAAGTCTGAATCTTCAATACGAATATCACGATAGCTCAATTTTCGGAGCAGAAACTTCGACAACTACTACAATTATCATCAAAACAGTACAATTATTTATAAACAATTGTCTACGTAAGATACTCAGTGTCCGTTAGCCGGATATCATCAGCAACAAGCTACTCTAAAAAGGAATAAATCAGGCTTCAGATGAAGACGAAATTACTAAAAGATGAGGATGTGGATAAAACACAAATTTCGGAAATCATCAAACTTCACCACGAGACTAGCGCTAACTTAGAATTCTGAAGGCAAAAGGAAAAGAGGAAGACCAAAGCATACACTGTGTGGACAATGAGAAGCAGATATCGAGAGAATAAAAAGCAACTGGAAACAACTGGGATACATTACCCACGATAGAATTCGGTGGAGAATCAAGTTGGGCAACCTATGATACTTCAAAAGGGGTAACAGGCTTCACAACAACAACAACAACAACAACAATTCATTTCTCCACAGTGGTATCTGATTTAACTCACTACTGAGTTTTGGCCATATTTGTCGACAGGAACATAGTAAAAATGAATATTTACTCTCAGGGAATTCGGTGTTTCAACCGAAAATAACTCGCCTTTTATTAAAATATATTCAATTCAAATCAATGTCAATAAATATTAAGTAACATCTTCCTTCATACAAGTTCACTCATCATAATTTACACAACAATATCAGAGTTATTCAATTAAACTGTCACAGCTTTCTTACCATGCTACTAAACATAAGAAGATTGGAGATAACACAATTGAAAATTGAATTTCATTTGACAAATACCATGACCATCCCATGCACTGAAAAATGAATAATTTTCACGAAAATAAGTCACGAGGTAAGCATGTAAGCGTGAAAGATATCGAATATAGCATTCAGGTTTTCAATGGTGGTCTGGCTTAAACCAACTCATCAATTCGACTATTAAAATACTTTAACTTGTGAATTTAATGTCTAGGAAGAAATGTCTTTTTCACATTTTCAACCATTATTTGAATAACTATGTACAGAATTAGTGCATTGTAACACTAAACAACAAACAATCAACTGGCATCATTACCAAAAGTTAACTTGACCGTTTCAAATACACTGAACATTCTGTGGATTCCCAATAAAATGTACTATGTTTATAACATCACGATGAATGCGAACACCAAATATTCTGATGTTTTGTGACTCAGTGTAAGTCACTTCTCCTCACAATAAATAACTAAACGAAGTGCTTCAATCTCCACTATTCCTCCATACTACGTTAAATTAACCCGATTAGTTTGAAAAGTAAAACAGAATACATTGCTAATAATTTCGGCCAAACATAGATCTATAGAATAATAAGAGAGAGGGCTTCATACACTCATTCGTGATGTCAAATATCAAGAGAAGGTCGCGTTTTGATCAATGGGTTAGAGAAGGGTGGTAGGGTGGAAATAATTAAACAGTCAGAAATATAGGTGATAATTGTCCACTAAATAGATATAAAGAGAAAATGAATAGGAAGAAAAAAGCCCTTACTATCCATCTGACTTGAACTATCTATCCGAGTTACAATGTCTAAATTCATGTACATCTTACTTAATTATCACACGAATTCAACTTTATCCTTTCATATTACGAATGTCACATTCTAAACAAACATCAACACGAAAAATGCACTAACATGTGGAGTCATAGAAATCATCTTGACCGGATCGACATTACGTTGACTTGGTCAGACATGTTTTTGGTTGATTGATTGTAATGAATAGTTTTGCCTAATTCTCTTTTACTATGTAAACTCCTCGGGTTAATTTAACGTAGTATAGGGGAATAGTGGAGATTGAAGCACTTTGTTTAGTTATTTATTGTGAGGAGAAGTGACTTACACTGAGTCACAAAACATCAGAATATTTGGTGTTTGCATTCATTGGGATTATTATACTTTATTACAAATATTAGATATCAGAAGGGGTTTGTGGAGCTTTTAGAAATTTCACTGACTGAAATCATGAGTCAGTTGAAGCTAGACCACCATGGATAACGTGGAATCACTGAACGGCCGTTTCGTGCTAGTATGGGGCTCCCCAGCAGTGCGCATTCACGATCCCGCACCGCGCGAGATTCGAACTCAGCATCTATCAGTCTCGCGCCAAGCCCTAACCAACTAGACCACTGAGCCAGTATCCAATGGTGTTTATGTCTAACCTCAACCAATCCACGAAGTTGTGCCACTGCTGAGGAGTCCCATACTAGCACGAAACGGCCGTCCAGTGCTTCCAAGTTTTCCATAGTGGTCTAGCTTCAATTGACTCATGATTTCAGTCTGTGAAATATTAGATAGTCGATATCCATTTGAAGTACCATCTTCTTCAGTTCCTGTGAAGATTCATTTTCTAAAATTTAGCAGTTCCGTGACCCTTTGATTATATATCATAACCAATTTTCATATTATAATCAGACCTATTCAATAATATCATAAGCTTGGATTCACTAAATTTTGTAGTTGTGTTTCGAACCAGTCACTGATAATCGTTTTCACTTCATCCAGTCATGGAAATACATAACGTTTATTATGAAACTTTTTCATTGATTCCCAGTGAAGTTCATAGTGTCGAAGAAGATGATATCTGTAGGAATGATAAAGCACTAAAATCAAACAGATTCATGCATCTTATTTGCAAGAAGAGTGAATAATGCACTTACGATCTACGGAGATTTCAGACACTCGGAGAATTAATTTCAATGTTGATTTCATTGAACATTCACCACCTACAAGGTCGCTTCATAATACGGGTTTGCTTATTTAAGAAACATCATTTAGTTTCAGTTCTCAGAGTATTTTTTCTCTACACGACAAATTCCACATATCATTCAGAGTGAATATTGCGGACAAACACTGTAGAAACATCATTCAACTATTTTCGTTTTTGCCGTCTCCTCGTTTGTTATAATTTTCCACTCTATGTATGAAGAATAAACTAAATGTAAGCGAATTATTTCTACCCAGCTTTGATTTGCAGAATATCAGGTGAGATTACCAAAACAGGTTTATGATGATGATTGGTGTAGCAGAACTGAAAGTAATGAAGTACGATAAATTTGTCGTATTCTTCACTTAATATCCTCCTTGATTTAGTTCTGTTTAATGTTCATCTATAATGAACTTTGAAAGAATCATGTTACAATGATAAATGAAACAGAGGCTTCATAGAACAGCTTGTCAGTCACTTACTATTTCATCCGCATAGATAAAATTATTCAAATATGTTATCCACCAATGATCACGACAAAATTTTATATCCATCAAATTGGGAGTTTGAGGATACATTGGACCGACATAAGCATGATTAAATAATCCAGTATACAGTATCAAGACTAAAAGATAAGCTGGAGTTAAACTGAAATTTAAAGAATACAAAATATTTTTTACACTAATAATTATTGTAGAGATTTTACTTCAAACGAAACATACTACTTTCTCAGAGGCTTTCAATTAAATGAATTTCAAAAGTTTTCGATAAAATGAAGCATGAATAACATTAATAAATTCGATTGTTATCTCATCCAACCCTTCAGTTGAAAATTCACCAGAATATAAACGCTATGGTTATGTCTTGAAACAAGACTAATTTGTCCAGATTGTTGCTGCAAAATATTTATACATGTTGTTGATTGTAGAGGTGAAGAGCCTGTCTTTGTCAATGCAGTTAAGAAAACGAAACTCTAGCGGTAAACTGATTTATTCTACATTAGCTAGGTAGACGAAATCCAGGAACAAAGTAATAATAATAGTCATAATTATAATGATCATTATAAAAACAGTAATGATGGTAAATTACATGTCGTCTTAAATGAATGGTCAATTAATAATTTTGAATGAATTGAACTAGTAGTTAATCAGTAGTTTGAATTGTCTATAGAATTTGCAAAATTAACAAATTAGTTAAATTGACCATGAAATATTATTCATCACCGAATTATGTATTTGTTTCATTCGTAACACTAGTAACCAGTTAATAACGAAAATACAAAAATATGATGTAGCTAAACCAAAAGAAGAGATCAATAGCCAGAATAAGTAAGTTACATGTTAATGAATCAAACATGTGAATCACAGATAAATAATATATTTGTAATATCCTAACTATTAGATTTTCTGACGTTTCGTGACTCAGTGTAAGTCATTTCTTCAGAGAATAAATAACCAAAGGAAAATTAATCCAATTTCATCCAACTCATTGGGATATTACAAATATATTATTTATTTATAACAATCTACCTAATGATCAATTTATTCGAAATTATCAAGTTAAACCTTGGTAATGATACCTACAAGTGAATAATAGGTTGAAAATTATTAAAATAAACTGACATAATACATTGATAGTTTAAAAAATAAAATCTAGCTATCTAGCTACTTCAAACGGATGTGATTCAGGGTAAACACATCATTCTTTAAATTCTAATCGGTCCGTTTAAAGAGGTTTTCTTCTTCAAATAAATGAACAGTGATTAGACTAAATTATTTAATACAGTTTCATCAGACAGTTTTTTTAGTAGTAATTAACAAACAAACTTGATTCTATTTTTCAAAGTTAGACAACCAACTGGAACTAAACAAAATCTAACAAAATACTGAATGTGGAAATTATCTAGAGTAAAAGGATGGTATAAATATTGTTACAAGTAGTCAATTGACTACGATATCTAAATAAAAGTATAAATAATTGAGACAACTAATTTCTCACAGCAAATAATTGACACGCATTCTACTGCATAACCTCGCCTGGAGACCCTTCGGGGGCTACTGCCGGTCCAAAACCCGGATAAAGGAGGAGGGTTGGGCATGAGGTTAGTGACCCCATCCCGTAGAAAACTAACTGGCTAAAAAACGCTAATCAGAAAAAAACATTCAAACCATTTAAAATCTGCCCTGGGAGTCAGATCTTCATTTAGAAGAGTTATGACACCTCATGTTGAAAGCCGAGCTCCTTCGGAAGCCACGAGGCCGATGCCCTTTCTGACAACCAGAGCAACCCTTTATTTAGGTACATGGAATGATCCTACAATGTAGGAGACCGGAAGAGTCTTCCAAATTGCTGCAGAAATGAGGAGATACAAACTGGAGGTGCTTGGGATCAGTGAAATAGGTTGGACGCAAGTAGAACAACAACGACTAGCTTCAGGGGAGCTTCTGTTATACTCCGGCCATGAAGAAAAAAATGCCACACATACACAGATAGTTGCATTGATGTCATACAAAGAAGCACAAAATACACTGATAGGATGGGAATCTCGTGGACACAGGATCATCAAAGCCTCCTTCAAAACAAAGAAAGAGGGCATTACAATGAATGTCAATCAAGCTATTCGCCTACTAACGACTACAATGAAGACGTTAAAGATCAATTCTACGATAGGCTGCAGTCAATCGTCGGGAAGTGCCCAACAAATAACTTGAACATTCTGATGGTAGGCCTATATGCCAAGGTTGGAATGGATAACACCGGATATGAAGACATCATGGGACGACACGGACTGGGAGAAATGAACGAAAATGGTGAGAGATTTGCAAACCTATGTGCCTTCAACAAACTGGTCATAGACGGCACTATATTACCACATAAAGGAATTCACAAGACCACATGGACTTCACCGGATCACACTACGCAAAAGCGAATCGACCATATCTGAATTAACAAAAGTTCAGGAGGACGTGAGAACCAAGAGAAGAGCTGATATAGCATCAGATCATCACTTGCTGGTCGCCAAAATGAAATTGAAACTCAAGAAGCACTGGACAACGGAGCGGACAATATCACAAAAGTTCAATACGGCCTTTCTTCAGGATACTAACAAACTCAACAAATTCAAGATAGTCCTCAGCAACAGGTTCCAGGCCTTTCATGATCTACTCAATGGAGAAGGAACTACTATGGATAGCAACTGGAAAGGGATCACAGAGGCAACCACTTCAACATGCTATGAGGTTCTGGGCCACAAGAAGCACCATCACAAGGAATGGTTCACTGTTGATACACTGGATAAGATTCAAGAAAGGATGGACAAGAAGGCAGCCATCAACACCAGCCAAACAAGAGCAGAGAAAGCCAAGGCACAAGCTAAATACACAGAATTAAACAAGCAAGTGAAGAGGAGTATCAGAACTGACAAACGTGAATATGTAGAGGATTTAGCAATGATGGCAGAAAAGGTTGCAAGAGAAGGAAACATAAGGCAAATGTATGACACAGCAAAAAACTCGCTGGAAATTACCATAACCCAGAATGACCGGTGAAAAGCAAGGAGGGCAAGATAATCACCAATATTGAAGAACAACGAAACAGGTGGGTAGAACACTTCAAAGAACTCTTGAATCGACAAGCTGCACTAAACCCACTCAACATCGAAGCAGCACCCACGAACCTGCTAATCAATGTTGGCCCACTAACAATTGAAGAGATCAGCATGGCCATCAGACAAATCAAGAGAGACAAAGCAGCACGACAAGACAACATTCCAGCAGAGGCACTGAAAGCAGATGTAGCGGTAACTGCAAGTATACTCCACATTCTCGTCAGCAAGATTTGGTATGAAGAATAAGTACCAACAGACTGGAAAGAAGGACACCTCATCAAGATACCAAAGAAAAGCGATCTCAGCAAGTGTGAGAACTAAAGAAGCATCACTCTTCTCTCAATACCAGGAAAAGCCTTCAACAGGATATTATTAAACAAAATGAAGGACTTCGTAGACGCCCAACTTCGAAATCAACAGGCAGGATTCCGTAAGGATAGATCGTGTACGAACCAAATCGCAACTCTACGGATCATTTTGGGACAATTAAATGAACAGAATTCATCACTGTACATCAAATTCATTGACTACGAGAAAGCATTTGGTAGTGTGGACGGAAAAACACTATGAAGGCTTCTTCGACACTCCGGTGTGCCTCAGAAGATAGTCAATATCATACAGAATTCATATGATGGATCCAACTGCAAAATCGTGCATGGAGGACAACTGACAGACTCGTTCGAAGTGAAGACCGGTGTTAGGCAAGGTTGCTTACTTTCACCCTTTCTCTCTCTCCTGGTGATCGACTGGATAATGAAGATGTCAAAATCTGGGGGAAGTACGGGATACAATGGAAGATCTAGACTTCGTAGACGATCTGACTCTTCTATAGCACATGCAACAACAGATGCAGGAGAAGACGAACAGTGTAGCAACGGCCTCAGCAGCAGTAGGTCTCAATATACACAAAGGGAAAAGCAAGATTCTCCGATACAACACAGCATGCACCAATCCAGTCACAATTCACGGAGAAGATTTGGAAGATGTAAAAACCTTTACATATTTGGGCAGCATCATTGATGAACATGGTGGATCAAATGCACATGTGAAAGCACGGATAGGTAAAGCAAGAGCAGTATATTTATCATTGAAGAACATCGTGGACTCAAAACAACTGTCAACCAACACCAAGGTCAGGATTTTCAATAGAAATGTCAAAACAGTTCAACTGTATGGGGCGGAAACTTGGAGAACTACGAAAGCCATCATCCACAAGATACAAGTGTTTATTAACAGTTGTCTACGCAAAATACTTCGGATCCGTTGGCCAGACACTACCAGCAACAATCTACCGTGGGAGAGATCAAACCAGATCTCAGCGGAGGAAGAAATCAAGAAGAAGCGCTGGAAGTGGATAGGACACACATTGAGGAAAGTACCTCACTGTGTCACAAGACAAGCCCTCAATTGGAATCCTTAAGGCCAAGGAGGAGAGGAAGACCAAAGAACAAATTACGCCGAGAAATGGAGACAGACATGAGAAAAATGAACAACAACTGAATCGAACTAGAAAGGAAGGCCTAGGACAGAGTGGGTTGGAGGATGCTGATCGGCGGCCTATGCTCCATTGGGAGTAACAGGCGTAAGTACTGGATGGCCGTGTTTTCCTAGTATGGGACTCATTAAAAATTAACACCGCTGGATGCTTGCTCAGTGGTCTAGAGGTTAAGCGTTCGTGCGTGAGACCGGAGGTTCTCAGTTCAAGTCCTGCGTTTGGGATCGCGCGTGCCCGCTGCTAAGTAATCCCATGATTGGACGGAACGGTCGACCCGTGCTGCTAGATTTTCAATGTTGATCTAGCTTAGATCGACTCATGAGTTCAACTATTAAAATTATTACAATCACAAATCCACATTCTAAAAATGGTTGAGGTCACACTACTAGGTATTAGTAAGTATATGATGTAGCACACAAAAAGAGGCAAGTGAGAAAATAATAAAAACAGTAAAACGGATGTAGCTGATTTAAATCGGTGTTCTGTGAAACAGCTCACTATATTTCATTTCTGATAATCCTTAATTTCAGCCTATTTATGAGAAAAAAATATTGGCTTAACATATTATGTGTTTTCATCAGCACAATTTTATAATTAATGATTATATATATATATATATATATATATATATATATATATATATATATATATATATATATATATATATATATATATATATATATATATATATATATATAAGCATCAGCGAATATCTGTGACATCGTCAAGACTAATATACAACACACAACATTCCGGGAGAAGTTATATCAACTGCGAATGGAAGCTAAAAACAACAATGTCAGAAATTATCATCTGAGTTAACTTCTAGATGTCTATCTGCTAAAGCAAACGACGTTCGCCATAATTCAATTAAAAAACCAGAATTAATTGATAGATGACTGTAATGCCATTTGGAAATTTTACAAGTACAGAATATTATTAATAAAGGTAATAATAATTATGATAAACATTCAGATTTCTATTCTAATTCTAATTTTCATATCACATGAAAATCATTCAACGTTGAAATCTCATGTGATTTGATACATGATCCCATTAAAATACATGTACTGTTTAAACTATTTGATTGATGAAATATGCAAAGGCGATATATTATAAAAATTATTTATTCGCATACTTTTATCCAGAACTTTTAATAAAATACCTAAAGCATTAAAAAGTAGTCGACTCACAGTTTATTCTTTGGTACCTTTCATTACGAACTAAATTTAGTTGTATTTAAAATTGTCGAATCACTCTATAGATAGACATTTAGATGATCACTAGTCGTAAACTACTTACACTTACACTTCAAAGAGGACTCTTTCCTGCAACTTCAAATATTGAAAAAAACAAATCTCTGTTTTACAATATTATGAAGTAACATACAATATCTATATATGTTGACCAACCAATACTATGAACAGTATAATAGAATCCAAGACGATTATGATACAGGTAGACACCTTTTATTCGGTGATTATTAAAAGATCAGCAGTTATTCAAATGTCCTAAATGTCGACCAATATTCACAAAGTTATGATAAAGCTAAGGTCCTCAGGATGTTTATAATGCAGTAATGTTATTGATGGAAATAAAGAGAACGCAACAAAAACCGGGCAAAAGAGTAAACCTTCACTGCACGAATTGAGTCGCTGAAATGAAGTTCTTGAGAAGCAGCAACTCCAGTCCTCAGTTGAATGAAAAGTTGACTTTCAACCTCAATAACGCATCAAGCTGAAACCCGTTAACTACAAGTAACTGCAAAACCTACCAATAACCACATATAAATCGCAAACGCATGACACAAACACCCTAACTGTTCACCTGAATTTTCACCCTTCATAATTCGTTATTGCTAATGAGTGCCACAATTTCAAATGATGGATTGAACTGTGACAGTTATTGCTTCTCAATCATTCATATCAAGTTTGGTTAGCTAAAACTAGAAGTCCGAAAACTGTCAGTCATTCACCATTCTCTCCTGTGTCCCTGGTCCGAACCGATTTGTCTCAAAATATATCCATCACTCTTTGGATCCTGACTGATCAGTTAAGAAATTGGAAGAATTCGCAGTTCTACTCTGAATCCTGTCTGCTTGCCATTTGCTTCAGAAAACTACATATTGAGAACAGAGACGTGATCTTATTTCAATCTATGGTTACATGTTCCTGTCACGGATATGAATAACTAAAGCCATATACAAATATACATACAAATGCAGATAAAGGATTATCTCGTAGACATTCATTTCAAATCAAGAGCTTCTCCTCTCAAATTACAATTGAGATTTCATTCTAGGCACAGATATCAATGACCAAGATCGCATTACGTCTCTGTGGTTCCAAGTGTGATTGATGTTTTTAGACTTCCATGAAATACAAATTATTGAAGTTAACCACAATACCTACATTATTCAATGTCACACAAAATACAATCAGCTACATGTACAGCTTATTATTATCCAACTCCAATCCACCCACACATGTTACATTTGGTGCTTAAACTAATCTTCTCTAAGTAGGATAACTTTTCAATACACCCATGATCAATAACCACACTCAGCGGATTAAAATACGTTGTCCATAGGATTAATTAGCTTTAAGGTTAATTGTGCAAAACGTTTTTCAATGCACAAGTGATGGAATGATTTATTTCACCTCAAAACATCTACGTGAACAAATCATTAATGTAGTTAACTATAATCCATTTTAATTATCAATACCATTTTATAAACCTATAATATCAAACAGTAACAAATAGACTGTCCAGTCAAGCTAAAATAGAACACTTTCGAAACAATTTTGGGAACTTTCGTTGAGAAACGTCCACATAAAACAGAGTAGCATCATAGGAAATCATGAATTACACATCTTGTCTACTGAACGCAAACATTTGTTCATTAGTATTCTCACCTCCCACAGGGTTCATCCACACCAACTTGCAAAATTATTTTTTTATAATTATGAAGAATATGAGTGAAATACACTTCGATCTTTAGGTTTTCATGCAACACTTTCCATAATACTTTAGGCTATATGTGAAAAGATGATAAGCACTCTAAAGAATACATGTGCATGAAATGACACGGAACATTTGTAGAGTGTAGACAATCATAAATGAAACTTGCCAAAACTTCATTGCAAAACTACAGTGAGTGTTGGGCAATTTATAAATAAACAAAACGTTAGTTTGCTCAATACAACACATTCATTTCTCAATAACATCTTACCCATTTAGTTTTATTGTTCTGGGAAAGGTTCTTTAAAATTCATAAACTCATTATTCCTAACAAAAATTTAGTTAAAACGTGATAATCTATGGTCGTCCTCTTTATATTTGCAACCAATCTATGCATTCAAATGTTGATCACTTATGGGCTGATTAACAGGTTTAACTGGATTAAAACAAATGGATCTACGCATAAGTTACGTACAAATCACATGACATATTGGTTTCGAACAATAGTGGTTTGCGTGAACATATTTTACTAACAGTTCGTGATTCATAAATGCACTCTCAGTCTAGTTCACAAAAAATCAAGTCAACAACTTCCATTCTTTATACAGAATTATAGAAAAGCAAAATCACTGATGGTTATCATTTCAGTGAACTACACTGAACGTCTGTAGAAATAGTCGATTGGTGAGTGACCGTCAATTCGGATTACACTTACCGTAAAATGCGATGAAATACGAAACTCCACCAAAATTTTATCCAATGTTTCCAACTGGGAATTCGTCGAAGTTTTGGAATGGTGAGATAAGTAGATAATAAACCTCTAAATATAAGGTAAAATATATCGACATAGGACTGTTATGCACAGGGACAAATCGTAAACAAGACTAAAATTGTTTGTTTTAAACTGCGATAAGATAAAAGCGCGTGAAAAATCTCAAAGCTACTATCGAGTAGACAACCATGGAACAGATGGACAAAAATTTCACACCCTTAATTCGTTTTATAACCAGTTTTTACTATAATAATGGTGTAAGCAACAATTTTACTTCCAATTTATTTACCGCTGAATGTATGCGCTTTGCAAACACAAAGATAGTGCTAGTTTAATATCTCACTAAAATGTACTCTTAATCTCATTTAAGCAGTATCAAGTAAAGTCTTTACTACAAAATGCAGTTTGAAAAATGAAGGATTATTCTTCAGCAATTCAATCAATGGGATCATTAACTGTAGTTGTAATTTTTCAGAAAGAAATATGAAGTAAAATTTTTCTTGTGTCGATAACTTTTATACATTCTGTAGATACCAGTAACGGATTATACGCTCATATGCTCAAAAAAATACGTGTAATCCAGTTGTCAGATGCAGTTAAATATCATCAGAGAATCACCATACATCTTTAGATTTTAGCGTTACTGTACACATCAGGATGAAAACTTTCATTTGATCCAAACAGGCCAAACGATTGTAAGTATTCATAATTTAATGAATAAACTTATTAGGGTTTAATTCAAAGGTGAATACAAAACCGTAAGCCTAAAAACGTTTTCTTAGAAACAATTAAGATTTAAAATAACCCATTATCTCATATTCTACTGACAGAAAACCATTTAATGTGAAACTGGTATCAGATATGTGTGGTAATTGAATGTGAAAAGATCTTGTAACTGAGTGAGACAGTAGAAACGATTGAAAGAGCGGAATGTAGATTAAAATCCGACTGTTACTGGGTATTTATTTTAATTTCATCTGTTGATTTGATTTAAACTTATATTGAATATCATAATAACACATACGTTCACCAAATAATATGCTTTCTAGTTAGACCTAGAACTGGAGAGTAGTTTGGTTATGATAATGAAGTCAATTTCGACTAGTGATGGAGATAGCATACTAAAATGTTGCATACTTGTAATCTCTTCTCCAAGTCAGTGAGCATTTTTTGTATTCATGCAATTCTTTTAGAATGACTCATCGCCAGGTAGTTTGCTCTATTCACTTTGTAACCATTCTTTTCTCATCAGTATCAAAGTGTGTTTTTCAAATTGTACTTGGACGGTGGAGAACATATAAGATTAACTTTGTCCTTGATGGTTCATAAAGATGCAATATACTTGGGAAGATAAGTGACAATTTCGGCTGTTGGTAAAACGTATGATATGGCTCACCTCAATGAAAACATTTGGAATGCACAATTGGAGTTGGGCGATACTTACTATAACTAGTTACAGTACAAACACCACTAAGGAAGGAAAATGTCTCTCAATTGTGAATGATCTAGAATCGCTTTGGCATCGTGATTAAATAATATGCTCTTCAACTTCAAATACACGTAACTATACTGGCACCCAACATGTTAGAGGAAATAACTTATTTTCCTCAAGATTCGACTCCTTCCCGTCATGGCGAACCTAGTGCGTGGCGGAGTATCATAATCAAAACAATCTACTGCTCAGTATATGTAGCTATAAGTAGGCATGTCAGAGATTCACTGTCCTTTTAAATGAAGACAGTATGCATAAAATCTTTAAAGTCAGCTTTTACTTAGTCTCAATACTACTGGACAAAATAAAAATTAAGCCGGTAAATATCCGTTATTAATGCTTACAATGACAGTGTGAGTAATTAGGTGAAGAAAATTTTATTATTGTAATTATCGTTATTAAAACAAAGACAACATTTCTGTCAAACATGAATAGAAAACGGATTATGTAGACGTACGACATGAAGAAGAATGTATCCACAGCTAGAGTTGCACTAATTATTACTTGATAGGTCCATTTTGGCTGATGAATTTGTGAGAAAAGTAGCAGGTTATCTGAAAGAGATCGTTCAGGAAACTCAAAATGTGTAGGAAAAAATCAAGGTGTAGTGAAATCAATGCACAAAGATATTACACTACTTTAAAGTCGAATAGGCCTATAAATGCCTTTTAAAGATATTAATATGAAAATATGAACTGGTATATTATCTTATTGTATTTTGAAGTACAAACTCCAGATAGTAAATGAGCTAAAACTGTCTATAGGTGTTTCTGTACCACTAAACATATATACTTACCTACTTACGTCTGCTACCCCTCGTACAGCAGCATAAACTGCTCACCACCATTCTTCATCCAATCTTGTCCTGGACAATCCTTTCCAGATTCTATTCATCCTTTTCATTTATGCTTCCAACTTCCGAATCAATGTGTTCTTCATCCTTTCCGTTTCCCTTCAAGATTGCAAGTTAGCACTTGTCTAGTGATGCAGTTTGATGATTTCTTCAACGCATGTCCTGTCCAATTTCAGCGTCTTTTCTTAATTCCCTCCTCATCTGAAACTTGGTTTGTTCTCTTTCTTAGTAAGCTGTTGCTGATGGTATCCGGTCAACAAACGTTGAGTATCTTGTGTTACCAAATTTTTATAAATACTTGTACATTTTTGACGATGGCTGTAGTAACTCCCCACGTTTCAGCTCCGTACAGCAGAACTGTCTTGATGTTCATATTGAAGATTCTGACTTTGATATTAGTTGACAGTACCACTAAACATAATCTTCACGAAATTATTCAGCGTGTCACGTCGCAGCAGACATATACCCCTGTGGTTACAAGGGTTTATTCTAAGAGAAACTGGATCAGTCCATGTTATGTTACTTACGTAAATCAAATAAATGTAGACGTAGACTTCGAGTGAAAACATTCCTTAGACCAAATGGATTCAAAAGAAAATGTTTTATGCGTGAATTTGTTTTAAATGTATAAATGACATTAGTTGGCAGTTAGAAGTCATATATGATTAGTTGATTAACAGACAGTTAAAAAAGATCTATAAATAGTGGTAGAATTTCATCCTCGCAGTGAGACTGTTAACTTACTTGCAACAAACATGCTGAATGCTATACAATGTCCATAAATTATCCAATTCATGGTTAAAAATCGGATCCCATCCAAGCACAATAAGGGATGACTGCAGTGCTGACCTGACTTATTTGGAACTTGATTTGGCTTGGAGTGCCAAAGATGCCACGTGTTATAAGGAACGGAATAATTCGCAATGTATTTAATACATGGATTTGTATTTGACAAAATATCTTTTGAGTAATGAATAAAGACAAAAAAAGTTGGTAAAATGTCGCTGTTTAAATAAATAAAACTCGTAATAAAGTAGTCAGGGTGCAATCAAACAAGATATCATGTAATATGTTACAACGACAGGGATAAAACGGATTTAACAGTTGAAAAACGTTTTTGTAAGATCATTGAAGTGTCATAAACAGTAATCACAAACGATCATTATTTCATAAACCAAACACATATACTTTGTTTGTCTATTACAAAAATGACTTGAAAAATAGGGTCTTATGAGAACTCATGCTTTAGAAGTAATAAACTTCAATACCGAAGTAACAACTTTTTAATACAAATATATTAACTTATTCTCCAAGGTACGAACATAACCTGGAAACTTTTACTGTATTTGCTGAGTGACTAAACATTATGATTGATCACATTAGAAGCGAACTATAAACCAACTAAGATAGGCCCTTGTTCTTGTCAGAACACGTTAAAATGACACAATCATGGGTAAACGATAATTTACGGTCTCGAGAGATAGACTTGTATCACTCGGTTACAAACTCTAAACCTAACTTTCCGGATTATGAAATGTCTATTTTAGCTTTTTAAAAAAGTGTCCGCCACTTGAATTAGTCTACTCTTTGCATACTGGCAAACTTTGCACACTAAGTAGAATAATGAAAGATATATTAGCCATGTAATTGGGCGGCAGAAATTTTGCTCGCCTACTCCAAACTGGTCAATCAGAAGACGTTTGATAAGAAGTATATTTATTTATCGGTGGAAAATGACTGGAAAACTCAGTACTACAAATAACGTTTTAAAAAGTGGCAAATTCTCTTACTTGCTCGATGTTCAAAATATGATGGCTTATCTGTGCTAAGATGGGCAGATGTAGTCTGTCCAAGTGTATTTTCCTCCTCAGTGGTCCCTCCACAATTAACGATAGCTTCACTGGTAGTAGATGCTTCTGTCGGCATACTGACATTTATCAGTCTGTCGTACGAAATTCACAAATACGATAATTTAATCTACACCACAGGACTAAATCCACACTGTTCCACTTATCAGAAGAACGATCATAACAACTAGCAAAGACCTAAAGAGAATAGAAAGAAAATTAATTTGTTTGCCACAAAATGTTAAAATCTAACCTAAGCCCTAATTAAATGGGTTAGATATACACTAAACAAAACAAACAGTAAACATAAATGTTAGATTTGACATCATCAAATACTGTCAGCCGACAGGGTGGCAAACAATAAACTTCGACTCCAGTAAGTCGACAACACTGTCATAGATTTTTACATGGTATTTTTCGTCTTACACAGCTATGCAGAACTGAAGTGACTGACTGTGAAATCATCAATAAACACAGACATTTTCTCATGAAAAATAAAAGTGATGAGTTTCCCCTTGTATAGGTGTGATATTTGTATGCAGCGATGATTCTTTTGCACAGTATTCAGCATTTAATGTGAGATCGCAAAACAATACTTTAAGTTGTGCTAACCGAATTCTATCTGACCTAAATTGAAAAATTCTGATAATTCTTATTTAGCATATTGATTCAACTATTTCCGAATATCAATGTAAGTTGTCATTTGAATATAACTCGAGAACTCTATAAAAGTCTAATAACAGAATCCAAACTGTCGAAGTGGGATATTTTGAACAAGTATTTATGGACAATAACTAGTAAAAAGCACCATCAGTAAAATATTAACGGTGATAGTTCTTCAAAAAATGCACGGAAATAATGAGAAACTTATTTGGTCAGATAAATCAGTGATAAGTGAAAAGTGGTCAAAGCGATCAAACAAGAAGAGTCAGTGTTGGTGTTTGTTGCATATTGCTGGCTGAAATAAGAAATACAGTTTAATAACTCACATTGCTACCCAAAACCAACCGTCTTTAGGTAGTTCTCCAAAATCTGCATGACAGAAGCTTGTGGACTTATCTATGGATAAATTTACCTTGGAAAGCACTATACAATCATGAATAAAAATTAACAAACCCATATCTAGTAGCCAAATCAAGTCATCCTTCGTACAAGAATGAGGAATGCACACTCCATAATTCAGTTCGAATGACTGATATAAGAAAATATAACGAGAAAAACATACCACTTTTTCAGGAAGATCTTCCGCTGAAGGAAGTTTCACATATGCAGAGCAATATTTTCCTTGAACATGCTGGGATAAACCGTAGCTAAAATCTGTGATATTTCGACACAATTCCATGCTTCCCACCCAGTTGATACCACCACCAGAGACACCAGGGACAATCTTGCCTGCAGCATCCAACCCTTCGGAAGAAATAAAATCAAACACACATGCCTACATTTCACTGCCTCCTTGTCTGATCGAATGATTCCATAAACAATCGAGGTCACATCGACGACGCATGCAGAGTTGTTATACAATGGATTACCATTTAACCTCTTCTGATCTAAGTACTTAAGCATCTCGTACACTGAAACCCGAGAATATTCAGCTAAAGCATCGAATGGTTTTAGAAGTTTCGGATCAAACGGATGAAGGAGAACAAGCATAGAATTATCATAAGAATAGAGAGGTAAACTTTTGGTGGATACATGATTGGGTAAAAGTGATCCTAAGGTAGTAAAATACAAGAAGAACCACCTCATAACGTGAGGAATGTCAAGTTTCATTTTCCAGTTTATATTGTCTCACGTAGTCTTGTATCCAGAACCGAGAACTGGCAGAGTAACGTCGGAAATGAGTAACAGATAATTTTGATCGAATTAGTAGAATGTAAATAAGGTGTAGTTTTTAAGACACTATAACAAATTTCAATATTGAATAGCTGTTGTACGGAAGATGAATCCTTTGTATCCGTTTCTTGGGTCTGAAATCCCATATCCTTTTCACGGGTCTGTGTGAAGCGATTGCTTTTTTGCTTTTGTTACTTGAGGTTTTGATACGATTCCGTGTTTAGTTAATGTCTAAATTGTGGTAGTCTAGCAACTCGAATGCACTCGTCCAAGTCAGTGTGTTAACTATTTTTGGGCTTGAATGTTTTGTAATTTGAGCTAATCCGTTTGTCTCAATACAGAAATGTTTGTGAGCATCAGCAGCTATCACATTACTAAGCTGGAGATTGGTTACAATTTAGAAAATAATGAAGTGAAAACATGAGTACTGAGAAAAGACGATTGTTTCACGACTGACAGATATGTCAACAAGTTTCTTATGGGTAAGAAGACGAAGTCGGGGAACTGAGAGGGGAAACGGTGTAGATAAAAAGAGGGACAGGGAATAGTTACTGATATGGCAATTTATGTGATGTGCAACAGCTGGTTCGACAGCGTGTTGATGGATTTCGCTCATTTTTTCAGGATTACTCGTTGTTTATCAACATATCCTGAGGACTTTCCTGTGAAGAATTTCTTTGGTCGCTTTAATAATAGCCCGGGGGTTAGTTGAACATTTTTTTAAGACCCTAACCTGGCCCACCGTTTGAGAAGTGTTCCGCGCTTGCTGACCACAGGCTTAATTAGTCTGTGAAGTCGATATTACAGATCTGTTCCACCACTAGTCTGGAGAGATCTTTGCCATTTGGTAACGCAGGCCGTTTATAGTTCTTTTTCCCACATTTCTGTTCTACTTGACAGTCTCAGCAGGAGTAGGAACCTGGGTAGGTGTATGATCCTGATTACATAGTTGGAGACCTAGTTTTGTTGTCGTCGTTGAGTGTTTCATGTTGTACACATCACACTAAGATTGTAACTCAGCGTACTATTTGATTCCAAGCACCACTTTTCTGTCGGTTCTTAATGTATATGTAGGTACTCCAATCTATAGTGTGAAAATTTGTTTCGGTTTGTTATTATTTGCTTTGGGTATCGATATACCTTGATTTAGTAGGAATACCAGATAAACGGAGATTATATGAGGCAAAATGGATAATATAGGTTGATATTAATAGCAGGGACGATAACAAGTTATATTGCGTTACCATATGAGACAAGACTCAGGTTAGACTGCAGGAACAAAAATGGATTCGGTCACTAAAAGACGCTCACTACTATTCTAAAAAGACAAAAGAGCCGCACAATCGACTGCCTACTACCAGTAGTCTTGCACCTTTGGAACCTGTTACCCATCAACCGGTTAAGATAGAAATAAATAACATCAACACCAAGATAATTTGAGTCCTTTCTTGCCTATTCATTATAAGCTTTTTACTCTGCTGTACATTATGTTGACTTGCCATTAATATTATTTCACCACTCGTTACCTTATCTGCAACTCATATATTTCTATACTTTTCCGCCTACTTTGGTAAACAACTATCCTACAATATACCCTTCTTATAGCCATACTGTGATTGGCAACCTTTACTTTAGAGTATAGTCAATTAAAGCAATGCATCGATACCTTGCCCACAGTCCATAATTTGTAACTTCCTGGTAAAATGGTACTTTTAGGAATACTGTTTTCTGAAAGGGTGTGAAACACAGAGCATCGTGTGGTATATGATATACATTCAAAAAATGGGCCTAAATGAGCCTAACATCACAAAAAGAGGGGGGTGGAGTTACTGACCAGCAAGCATTGATGGTGAGGGTGATGACTTCAATCCACTCACTTTTGTGGGACAGAACATTTTGTTCGTATCAGGTTCTTTATGTTTGATAACAAGTCAATCAATCTGTGATATTGAAGTTGTTCTCCTACGCCCACCATCCAGACTCATGTTTCCAATTTTATGCTGAATAAGCTATTCTACCAAGACAACCTATCAAATGCTAAATTGGACTTTTACATTAAGACTGTGTGTCAGGCATCGGGTGGAAAAATAATAATAATAATTTATTCTCAAATAACAGTTTGTTACATGAGGCATGCCAATTTACAGGCAAGATCAAATTGATACAAATGATACAATATTCGCTGTAGTAAATTACATAGCTGGGTTGATAATTTATGAGATATGAATGTAGATGGTTTTAAGCAGTTCTATCGCGCTTAGACTGTGTATTCACTAACGAAGAATTCCTAGTCGACAACCCCTCAATCCTGGCTCCTCTGGGAAAGAGCGATCATGCCGTCATAGCCTTCAGTTTTGTCATCAAAACTAAGCTAAGGTATCCCAACAATAATTTGCGTTGGAACTTTAAACGGCTGAATGTCCCAGCTCTACATGACTATCTACAACAGGTGGCTTGGGATGTTCACCCTCAACTCGATGTGGATACTCATTGGGACTTCTTACTGCACACGCTCTTATGTGCTACAGACCATTCAGTTCCTCAAACGGTTCCCAAAAGCTGCAAGCCACCTACAGTAATCAAGAACCGTACCCTTCGCCTGCTAAGCCGCAAAAGGCACTGCTGGGCGGAATACAAACGAACTAATAACGATGGAGCGTATAGGCAATATAAACATATCAGGAACATATGCACGAAGGCTATAAGAGAAGACAGGCTTCAGTACCAAACAAAGCTTGTGGACAAATTCGCCTCTAACCCTAGAAGCTTATTCCGTTATGCAGCCTCTCTTCGTCAAGCCAAAACAGGAGTTTCTCAACTGGTAGGTCTTAACGGCCCGACCAACAATGATGGCGACGCCTCTGACCTTCTGGCGGCACATTACTCTCAAACATTTCAACCGGCTGACATCAACTCTACTGACGACAGTTTCACCTGCAATTCCACAGGACTTTCCGAAGTAGACCTAAGCGCTGACTTGGTGTTCCGGAAATTGCAGCACTTAAGATTAGACACTTCTCCTGGCCCGGATACGGTTCATCCTGCCATACTGAGAGAGGCAGCCTCAATCTTGTCAACGCCGCTTAGCGTGATGTTTTCTCACTCGCTTAGCCGAGGCAAATTACCGGAAAATTGGAAGTTGGCTCACATCACACCAATTTTCAAAGGTGGTCGACGCAATGAACCTTCAAGTTATCGGCCGGTGGCTCTTCTGTCATTACCTTCAAAACTCATGGAGTCCCTGATATGCGACGGTTTAAATGACTATCTACTGTCCTTACATTTCTTCTCACCCCAACAGCATGGTTTCAGGAAGGGTTACTCTTGTATAACCAACCTGCTGACTGCGGTGGACAGATGGACAAGCATCCTCGATTGCAAGGGAAAGGTTGATGTCATCTACCTTGATTTCTCAAAAGCTTTTGATAAGGTTAACCACATGTGTCTTATCAACAAGCTCAAACGACTAGGTATCAAACCACCCCTAATCGATTGGCTTACTTCATACCTAAAAAATCGACACTTTAAGGTTAGGGTTAATTTCACTTTATCCCAGGCTATGGAATGTCCTAGTGGGGTCCCCCAGGGCTCAGTACTAGGGCCTCTTCTCTTCTTGATCTACATAAATGATCTTCCTCAACAGGTAACGTCAGATTTATTACTTTTTGCCGACGACGTGAAACTTTGGAGAGAGATACGCAACCAAGACGATACACAGGCACTTCAGGAGGATCTGACTCGACTTCAAAGTTGGGCAGACGATAACGGACTTACCTTTAACACTTCAAAGTGTAAAGTAGTCCATCTGCGACATGTTGCAAACTACAGTTACAACTTAGGAAACTCCTCTCTAGTAGTATCCCAAGTCGAAAAAGATTTAGGAGTCCTGGTGCCCCATGATTTGAAGTCTTACGCCAACTGTGACAAAAATGCCTTCCGAGCAAACCTTGCGCTGGTAACATTGAAGCACATTTTTGGCCAGTTTGACGGAAGAACTTTCCATATAATCTTCAACAGTTTTAACCGCCCACATTTATAGTACGGAAACATAGTATTTCCTTCCTCACTCCAAAAGGATAAGGACACTTTGGAGCGTATCCAACGGCGAGCCACGAAATCAGTTCAAGGACTCAAATCTAAGCCTTACGAAGAACGCCTCCGTTCACTAGACCTTTACCCATTGGAATATAGGCGTCTTAGAGGTGATTTATTAATGGCTTATAGCATTCTTAACACTTCTGGACATCTTCTTAAACACCTACTTAAGCTTAGTTCGAATAACAACCTAAGGGGTAACACCCAGAAACTGGAAACACAACATAGCAAGACGGAATGTAGACACAATTTCTACTCCTTAAGAGTTGTCAAAAGCTGGAATTCGCTGCCAGCCGAGCTAGTCCAAGCGACTTCTCAGGAGTCCTTCAAGAGGCAACTTGACCTATTCTTAAGGACCAAGAACAGCATCACATTATGATTTACCAATCTCTTTTCCTCTTTTATTGTTAACATACCTAGGTTCCTGCCTGGAGGATTTGGTGATCCCCTGCTACTAGACACGGAAGCCTGTTAAGCGAAAGCTTCTTCTATTCCGTCCACAACCATTTGAACCATTTATAGTTAGCGCGCTTCATGAAAGTTGCGTTGCGAATGTGCGACTGATGGTCAAGGATAAGTCCATTGAAGGTATGAGCTTCTAGAAATCGCAACCTTATGTCCCTTTGGAATATCCAAGGCTTTAAGGATGGTGCAGGATGAAGTCACCCGTTCCATATATCAAGGGGGCTGAAAGAGGGAGCAAGTAAAGGAAAACACGAGAGGCAGAGTAGCCAATATTCTTGAAGGAATACTTAAGGTATGATTATTCAGTCTAATTTTCTTTTATTAAGGTATTTGTTAAGAAAGAGCATTTTAATAGGTTAAAGAAAATAAGTGTTAAC